GTCGTGCATGTGTTGCGCGCAGACAAGATCACTAGACCACGTCAGCCACCGCGTCCATTTCTCGCTGCAGTCAGCTGATCGGCTCGGACAGGGGTTGCAGTGTAAAAATGGCAACGGAGACTGAGGTCGACGACTCAGCGCATTTTCCTCTTAATTATAAACCATCTGACGCGCTTGAAGCTATCACGGGACGCCAAAAGCCGTGGCTTGGAAGGTTGCCAACTGACTTGATAGCTTGGACCTCGCAGTCGGCCCCGTGTTTTGTGTTTAAGTGGAGTGGTCGGCTGGTGGTCTGAGAGTCAGGCTGTAATGGCTCCTTCTTGATGTGGCCTCTATGGCACTTCCACTGTGTGGGATCCGAGTCAACCGTTGACGGCACGCCTAGGTACGGCTGCTTTGGTCGTGCCAGCCTACAATCTCTGTTGCGTTGGTCAAAAACCTGATTATTTTTTGTGTGAACCAGGGAGTGTGGTGGAAGGCCAAGGTTCGGTCTCGACCGTGCCCTCCACCTGCTACCTTCATCATCTCCGGCCTTCGTGACTCTGTCTTGACACGCGGCTCTGGAGGAGGAGAGTGTGTGACAGGTGCGACGCAAGTCTGCCGGTACTGCCCTCACACTTTCACGCATCGCACGGGCCTATTCGGCCACATGCGCATCCACGAGAACGACAGTGACCGCAGTCCCGACTCATCAACCACATCCAACACACCCACCATGCCCGGCCCCACCCTCGCTTCATCGACCAGTGAACCCACCGCCTTCCTCGCAACTGACGCCGACACCACCGACTTCCTCTGCCCACACTGTCCATGCACATTCACGTCTCACATCGGCCTGATCGGTCACTTAAAACCACCGGTCATCTTCTTCGCCGCTTTTGGCTTGGTTCCCAATGTGAAAATGGGAAGAGATTGCTGAACTTAGCTGATCGAACCCGATTGTTTGTCACCAACACATGTTTCCGGTATTGCAAAAACACATGCTGACCTGGTACTCAAACGACAGTCATATGACCAGTCAGATCGACTACATACTAGTCAGCTCCAGGTTCCGCATCTAGGTTCACGATAGCAGATCTATGCGTGGTGTCGAGATTGGTAACGCCCATGGGTCGCACCATGTCCTCGTTCGTACACGCTTGAAAGTTCACCTCTCATCCGTGCCAAAAGTGCCACGTTCTAGACGCCTCGATGTAGCAAAAATTCGTTAAACCTGTACTCCCGAGGCCCTGAGTAGAGAAGTCCGGACCCGTTATACGACCCGAGATGACGGAGGAGGCAGTAACTAGTGGTTGTAACTGAAAACGTCAGTCTATGGAGCAGTTGAGAAAATCCTTCGATACACTCAGCGACGCACATTTTGGAAATGTCATAGCCTCCAACTAAGCACGAAACTGAAGATGTGCAAGGCCGTCATCCTCCCGACGCTGCTGTACGGAGCGGAGACTTGGACGATGTACACGAAGCAGGCACGCCGACTCAACCACTCCCACCTCAGTTGTCTTCAGCAGACACTAAAACCGAGATGCCAGGACCGGATTCCTGACGCGCACATACTGGAACAGACAGGAATCCTCAGCGTCCACGCAATGCTGGGACAACTGCAGCTGCGCTGGGGTGACCACATGATGCGACTGCGCGTCTAGCCGTTACACAAACGACTCTTCCATGGAGATGTCGCCACTGGTTCCCGTCGACAGGGAAGTCCAGTTCGGTGCTACAAGGAAACTCGGAAGACATCCATGAAACGTCTGCAGATCAACCCGACCAAATGGCAAGACCTCGTCCGGGACCAACCAGTATGGAGTAGGACAGAGAACACAAACACAAACAGTCTACGAAGGCGACCGTGTAACCGTTGGCAAAGCTAAACGTGAGGCTCGCAAATCGCAGCTGCTCCAACCTCGCAACGCCAACACTCAGCCGCTCCCGACATGCCCGCAATGTCAGTGGACGTTTCAGGCACCAATCAGTCTTATTGGGCATCTTCGAGCCAACTGCCGCACCCCGACCACACCAGCTGACATCACCTCCATCACGCCTGTCTCAATCCCCACGTGGACAATTAATCCAATTCGTGTTCCGGAACTTCCATTGCCATTCTCCACAGACCCAACAACTGCTTTAGTACCTCATGTCCCCAACGCCACTGCGCACGACTCTTGCGCACCAACAAGCATCTACCTCACAACCGTCAACACCAGCGATGTGGACTCTGTCCATACCTATCCTCAGTTCGATCGCACATTCACCTCACACACGGGGCTAGTCGGTCACCTGCGAATGCATCAGAGTCTGAGACTATCACGCTGCACCAAGCGCTGTAGCTTAGAAGGCCGCCGACTGACGCCCAAACCCACTCCACGCAGTCCGTCCAACTGCGTGTGTTTGTGCGACGTTGCCGACTGGTGGGCTGAGAGCCAGGTTGCAACGACACCCCCTCAATGTGACCTTTGAACACTGATGCATGTAAGTAGTGTGTGTGTGCTTTGTAGTTAGTGACCCTCAGTCCACAGCTAACTGGTTACCCAGCCTCTGAGGGGTGATGGCTCAGGCTAAATGCGAGGCCACATGTCTCCCCTCTGGGCATATGGGCCTCAAGTTAGGCGAGCATCTCCTATGCCATGAACAGCAAACAATGACAGGTCGTGAGCATGTCTACCCATTCATCCTCGTCGTTATTGTGGTCGTTGTGGTGCTCTTAGTGGTGCTGGCTAAAACATGGCCAAGTGTTTGTTGTGGACGAGAAGATGTGGTGGTACGCCTAGGGGTAGGTCTGCACACTCGATGACAGAACTTAATGAGGAAAAGGCAAGACGTTCCATCAGTCGCATCTCCCGCAACATCGCGGTTTCCACAGAAATAGCAAACAAATCAAACAATAAATGTTGACGAAAACGAATAAAAACTGTCAACATAGCAAAAGCCAACTATGTCCACGTCCAGAGGTCGGACCATCTAATCGAACGTGCTTCTGTGGGTGGGTCGTGTAACACGCAAAGTTGTTGCGCGGGGCGTGGCAGACTTAGATTTCTTGTGCGTCTGAGTACGAGAGTCGCTGGCAGACCTGGCGGCAGATTGAGTCCGTTTCCTCATCTCTGCCCTTCTCGTCTTCCCACCGCCTGCCTCCGACGTTTCAGGTCCTTCGCTTGCATCCGCGTCCTTACTGCTGGTCCCTGCAGATCGGCCTCGGGAGAAACTGTCACCCAGAGGCAGTGAGTACTGACTGGCCCTCTTCATGGCCTGGGCTCGCATCAGGTCGTTCAGAATGGCCAATGACTGACGCGCGGAACGCACTCGCCTATCAACAGGGCGTCTTGGCGTCGTCCCCTCGCCGATACTGGCACTAGCCTCGCCTGTCCCACCGCCGCCGCCGCCGTCTCTTGCTCCTGCCGCCGCCGTCGTCGTCTTCGTTTTGGCCTCTGCATCCGCCTTCGTCCCCGCTCCCGCCTCCTTCTCCACCTCCAGCTTCAAATTGAGGAGGCTTTCAATGGCCTTCTGCTTCTCTCGTCTCTTCTCCAACTGCCTCCTCTCATACCGCTGATCGGCGATCATGCTGAAGAGGGGACAAGCGATGGCGATGAGGAAGCCAATCAGCAGACTGGTGCATACCATCTGCATCAGGAGGATGAATTCGGAATACTGACTGCCCTTCTGGAAAGTTCGCTGGACGACAACGAATCGTAGTGGCTAGAGTAAGGCAGAGGAGGGAAAGATCGATTAAAGATTACTGGCGGACCTGGAAGTCACATCGTCATTTGTGGGTTGCCTTCCGTCAGGCTCTGGGATCTATCTGACAACTGAGGCATTTCATTGAACGCCACTTCCTGTGCAGTTGGACCAAAGGTCTTGAAAGAACCAAAGGATTGTGCGAGGCACTTGAATTTGTGCGTCGATTATGAAGTGGTGGGAAATAGCAGCTAGTGGCATGCTCCCAATAGACTGTGTTTCAATGACGAGACTAAATCACGGTGAATGTGAATGTGCGCAGGCGAATTGGTTTATCAGATATTTGTTCGCATATTACGCGCGTCATTCTTACGAGCCCATAAAGACAGAGGCCCTAGAATGCCAGATCTTCGCATCAAGGATATATTTAACATGTACGACGAAAAGTCCACAGGTCATAACTTCAAAACCTTGCGCCCCACATGTGCCGGTTTCCCAAATGACATGACCGGGGATTCCATCAAATGCTTGTCAGATAGCAGAATGCTGGTTCACTTATTGGACCAACGCAACAAGGCCAGAGTTCGTATGGTCATTTCTGGCATATCGATCGTCTTCAGCGAGCCTTACCCAGAGTGAGGTTCAGTGGCACCTGTAGCTCCAAATCACGGTGAAAAGATTGCGTGGCTGAAAGTTTAGAGCATTGCACTATTGGTCAAAGGAGTGCGTGTTCGAGCCTCAGGTGTTTCCTCAAACCTAGTGCTGGACAGGGCTGGCTGGCTGGCTGGCTGGCGATGGCTAGTTGCCCAGTACTGGACATCCCAGTCTTATCCTGCCTGTTCAGACCTTTTCACCAGAAGAACGTGACCTCTCTCTCACTCAAGAAACTGATGTGGGAACTGTCAGACATCTTAAACATGACGCATTTTTGCTCGCTCGTCCAGCCTCTTCAATGACATGTCCTTTTCTTCTGTATGCAATGTGTCCACGTAATATGATCAAGTAAAATGTTCATGAATTTGAGCGGAAATTGACGTTGCCGTATGTATTCAGGCAATCCCCGATGCTACTACCTGTCCTAGACTTCGACTACGCATCTGAGCGTGCTTTTCTTTGACAGGAGAGTAATTTAATCTCGAGAGTCTCACTAGACGGAGCCTGCCGCACTCGGGAATTGATCGTTTGTGCGATGCAAATCGTGGGAATCAGCTTGTTAGCACGCAGGTTAGCGTTCTTTAAGCAGAAGTTCTATCGATTTTTTGAAGTGAGATTAGAAGTTTAGTGCGATTTTGCATTTGGAAAATGCTATGTCTTGTCACAAAAGTGACTACCACCAAATTGTCATTTTTCGATTTCAGCCACATGGAACATCACCTTTCGCACGGACTAGCTTCTGTACATGTCTAATTTAGAAATGAGACGTGTGAAATATTAACCGTTTCAACAAAATATCATGCATAGTTCATTCATAGTCGTAGAACAGGACCTAAAGGTGAGTAGAAAGAGTGCAAATGTCCTCAAAAGAAAGAGGAAGGCATTTCCTTACGTTTGTAGTATAAAACTTTTAGTATTTTCTTGTCTCCAACGTGCAAAAATACAAAGTACACAGACATCCGTCAGCTGAATGCAGTATGAAATCACTGCTTGAAAAGGGCATCGTATTAGGCACATTCTTTGGTGACTTTCTTTTAGATGTTCATTTTATTTACGATAAAATTTGTGCCTTAAGCTCCACTGCAGAGAGAACTTCGCCTGCAATTGCAGACAACATGCTTGGCGTTTTCTTTATGATTTTAATTCTCCCAAATGAGTTATTTATTGTGATGGACAGTGGATCCACGCGTAGGTGTCGGTTTGTGAGCGAAAAACAGTCATTTGTAAATTGTGACACTGCATAGATAAGGTAACACATTTCAAGTGCGAATTAGCCCTACAAATAATGGGAAGTAGGGTGACTAGAACAGTCAGAGATATGGTTAAGCCGAACTTAGTCTGCTTAATCAAACATGCATGCATTCCTATGTGAATGGAAGGTAGATGTAAACGATCAGTCATGAAATAAGGAGACAATGTGGGGCTCATCAGGACAGGGAAAGGAAAACAGGACTCGAAATCTACAGTGAAACAAGTCTTATCAGAGTCGTTGCATGGGTCTACTAAATGGTCATTCTCAGACGACTTCACGATGTTCTGCGTGGTGTAACACCGAGGATCAATCAGTCATCTTTTCGAGTCGGACATGGATGCATTAACATTCCTCTGTGGCTGGGAGTCACCGATGACTCTTTATTGCCCTACGATCAGCGGCCATAACTACTACTTGCTTAGGAGTATAGTGTAAGACGTTAAACCTCCATAGTGTTTGCCGTGGCCAAAATCTCCACTACATTTCTTGTGTTGTGAGCTTGCCAATGACCACCGTTCACAGCCGTTACACTTTGAGTGAGGATCTTGACGTCGGTCGTATTCACTTACAACTAAGAATGCGTTCTCGTGAGAATTCACAGACTTCCAAATATCCCGAACTTGCATCTAGACGCCGGCTATTTGTCCTCAACATCGTCCCAGGAGCATGCGCTACATCATTGACCATAGGACGACAATCATTTAACGATTGTCGTCTCAAGGTCGTGGAGGACTCCAACTATCTTGAAGGAACGTTCATGTGAGTGAGTGACAAACAACCGAGTTGTGCAAGCCAGATCGCGAGGTTACGCTAAGTGGACTCACCTAATCCCTACTCTTCTATGTTGCACGCTAGCGTCACCCTACTGTTCTAATTGCCTTTTCAGATGACTTCTTATAGCTCAGAGTGTATACTTCGAGCTATGGCTTCTTTGCACTATGCATTGTAATTCTCTGAGCCAGTTTAAATCGCCGAATAGAACGGGGATCTCAAGGATTTTACAAAGCGCTAAACATCTAGGACGTTGTTGCAGTATCCGAATCTTGACAAAATATTCCCGTTTTTGGCAGAGGGGCGCTCATCGATCGTTCTTACGGAACTCACTCGTTCCGTCGTGCCTTACGGCTCGCTCTCGAGCCCAACCGGCAGCCGCACAGCGGCGCATGATATGGGCGGAATGTCATTGCCGACAAAGACAAGGGAGACTAGAATGGCCATTTCTGGCTTATTAGCCATTGCAGCCAGTCGTAGCCGACCCAGAAGTGTGGAACACCGAGGGCTCGAACTCGTGAACTGTTAGTTAGAAGTCCAACGCCCGTGGCCGGCCCTGTGGTTAGAAGTGTTGGACTTCTAACTAACAGGTCGCGAGTTCAAGCCCCAGGTGTTCAACGCTTCGGGGTCGGCTATGACTGTCTGACGATGGCTAATAAGCCAGAAATGGCCATTCCAGTCTCCCTTGGCATTGTCGGCAATAACATTCCCTTGGTTGTTAGTCACGCACACCTGAAATCGTCTTGGCACTGCCCAGCCATTGGGGCAATATGGCTTGAGAGGAGAGAATGTCGTATATGTCACCTAAGTCTGCTATCATTACGAAACAGATTCATGCTACGGTGCCGATCTGACTACGTGAGGCACCCGCTGGACATCATCAATTGCAACATTGCAATTGTGGACTGCTGATCCGACTTTTCATATGACCTGGGAAATTGTTAATCATTCACATCGTAAGCACGGTTGACCAACCTCGGATAGAGCAGGTATGCGGGAGAAAGTGCGAGTGGTCCCACAGGTTACTTTGATGGGTTGATGCAGCAGATCTGGAGTGAATTTGGGCAAAACCAACAGACTGGCATTTTCCATTCCAAATAAAGAGGCATTGAAGTTCTCGACACCGGACTGAACATACATCTTCGTGTCATACACGCTGAAGTTGTTATTAACCACGCAGAGGATAGCGGACAGTTCCAGTAAATCGTGCATTTTATCCGTTCTTAGTTCTTCCGACTTCGCCAACCTCTTCGCCCGCTCCACTGTTGTCAACAGACCCTTTTCCCAACTGAAACCGTCATGCAGCGTGTAGAAGGTGAAGCTCAGTCTACTAATACACAGTCTCGCTGTGGCTGAGAATTGGACGTTAACGACGCTCTTCTTCTCTTCCAGAGTCGTGCGTTTGGTGTAGAGAGTCTGCCTGCAGACGATTAGAGCTCTGTGCCAATGCGTTGTCACCTTCTTCAGTAGCACATTGGCCCTGCCGCTGTTGTCAATTATGGGTTCAAATTCTCGAGTAGTGTTGATTTGGACCAAGTCAGCCAACACTGAGATGGCAACATCAAAATGCGCTTCCATTCTCGGACAATGCGCGCAATCAACAAGGACAGAGCTCTGCATACAGGAAATTTCTAGATCTTGACCCGGTCGCACACAAGACAATTGGTGTTTCTGCACGCGAGTGATGTCATTAACCACCTCATTGGACACCTTTGGCAAGAAGACGTCCTGGATGGCAATTCGGATGCGTGACGGACGTAAAGCAAAACAGACGGGTTCACGATTTATCACACTGTACTCCTGATTAAACACGTTCTTCATTTTCAGGCGACAACGAAAGCCCGAGAATTTGGTCAGATGTCGAGCGAGAGCATGCAGGTGAATGTAAGCGCTGTTGGTGTCATTAACGTTAACAATCACCACTGAGGAGTCTATGTTCGCAGTCTTCAGGACGTACCTCTCCTTAGGCGTGAAACTTAGGAGGGTTATGTAGTCTGTCTGGTTGAGGCCCTCTAGGAGGAGGTACTCAACGGCACTGGGAGCGAACATTGTGGCAAAGCGTTTATTGGGAGCGCTGAGCTTCTTCAACAGGTCCTGGAAGCACATAATTTCGACAGTCTGGTCTGCAAAAGCGACGGTCGGCTTGACAGTCAGTTGGTCGTAGGGTCCCAGAATGACAGCCTTCTTCATCATAATGCTGCCTGAAGAGAGCGAAGCGGTGATGGTGTATATGTCGTCCTTTTTCCAGCCAGGCAGAATGAACTCAAAGTTCTTCCTGGGCACCTTACAAACGGACCACATCTCTCCCTTACCCACCTGTATGTCAGTTCTCGTAGCAGCCGGCTGAGGACCCTTCAAGTAGACTTCGTCTATTCTAACCTGCCGATCGAGTTTGGTGCAGGCGAATGTTAGAGTGAGGACCAGTCGAGTAGCCAAGGGGGTGCCTGCAATGGGCGGATAGACGCCAGCCTCGTCAATCCTTGCGAGAGGTATGTAGGGGACATTTTTGGTTGTCGTCGTAGTGATGCAGTCAAAGTTCTTCAGAGTGGGCGAGGTTAGGTTGACCTTGTAGACGTAGCTCAGAAAACCAAGGTCATCACCCTCGGAGTAGAACATCTTCTTCTTCACAACAACCACAAAATTCTTCTTCTTAGGCAGATCCTGAAACACATCATCCATGACGCAGGCCACGTGGAGGCTCAATGACTTCCGCTTACTAACTAGACGGCTCAGCTTCTCCAGGTCAAATGACCAACGATCCTGTTGTTCCGGGTCAACATAGAAGAAGAGAGGCGCCCCAGCACGCACGGGCAGTCTCGGCAACTGATCTTCACAGAACTCGTCAATAATGTGTTGATTCTCGGGGATGAACCAGCGAATAGTGTATCCACCACTTTCTTGTGCTCCAACAGTGCTCATCTAGGAAAGACATGAGGAGAGGAGGTGTAAGTTGGTTCCTACTGTGAACATGTTAGGCAGGTGAGAAGTCATTATGAATGCCTTCAAAGGTGGCCCACACGTGCGAGCATCTAACGTCCGGAGATTTCAGCAAATCTGTTTATGAAGTAAGTGACTCGTAGGAAATATACTTCCATAGATTATTAGTAACAGACGTCCTCCACTTGAAGCAGGATCAAAACGCGTAAATTCTGTCCATGCGGGAGGCTGGGGGTTGCCACTAAAGACCCATCTAATTAACTGCTGACAATGGTGTGTATACAAGCACTTTGAGGGGACAACTCTCTCCTTGAAATGTGTCATTCTGACTGACGTGAGGTCTGCGTAGTCCTCACTGTAGCCTAGTAAACATGATGGAGACTAGGCTGTGTGCGGACCACATGGACAGAGTACTTAGCTTTGTCGGCCACTTAGGCAACGCTGAGACAACTGGCGATCGTTTAGGCTATGCTAAGTAACATTAAAATTAGTAATAAGAACCGAAATTATTCTAGACAGATTTCGTCAATGGCAGAATAAACCGAAAGTCATTGGTAGCGCTCAGATGGCTTTTCTGAAGCCTATTTGTTGAGAACTTTTCCTATAACTCGACTTGCATCGTCGATCAAAAGTTTCGAGTACTGATTCGGGAGAAGTTGCTGTCATTGAACTTACAGTTGAGCTCTCCAGACGGAGGAAACCATTCGCACTGAAGAAGGCAACGATATTCTGGTAGGACCACAAGGTGAGAAACTTCACCGTGAAGGGCGTGCGGGTAATCACGAAGAGGGGCAGGTGAATCAGTGAGACGCCTGTTGCTCTTACGTGTATACGCTTCATCATCACTATTTGTTCCCAATTTATGCCCATTGGCGTATAGTCATCAATCCACAAGTGAATGAGCAGGGTATTTATCTTTGGATAGATGAAAAATAGGCTGGGACAATGCTCAGTGACAGCCCTGTTATCGCGGTCCTGCAAGTTAACCGGATACTGCACCATGAGTTCATCCGTTAGGGACCTTGAGCTTAACTGGAAGGAAAGCATAACAATGCCAAATTCACGTAACCGCTTAATGTGGATATCCGCCTCGTATTCTCCCGATCGTCTTCTGATCTGCAAGTTGTACGTGGAGAAGCGAGCCAGAGCTTCCGAACCGTTGAGGTAGCAATCCGTGTAGAATTCAGTGAGATGTACTTCATACTGAATCCTTACACGGACTTCCTGCTTTGTGTAAATGACATGAGCGGAGTGCACTTTCGCCATAAGGCGTTTATTGCGCGGGTCGTAGAGTTGGCTTTTCATGCCCTGATTGAAAGTTGGCAAGATTTCCAGTTTTTCTCTGACCTTATCCTCATTTTCCGATACTTTATTAGAAAGAGTGAGCTCAATCGAAAGAAGAGAGATGATGATGATGATAAAAGCACGACGCAAAAAGGACATCGTCCGGTTTGCGGTCCACGTCTCAACCTTGCTGCGAATGTAGTGCGAATGGACTGCATAGGCTAATTGACCGAGCAAATTCGGAATTATTAACTGGCCGCGCGTATTTTGAATTTTGCGATCGATGGCCACTGGCTTGACAGCGTGCGCGAACGGCTTGACAAACTTGACGCGTAGCGCATCTCAAGGTCACTGGCTGGCCGTTTGCTGGGGGGCGGTATGCCGGGCATGACTCACACTTCTTCATAACTTAGTTGTCCAGGAATTGATAGTAAATTGGATTAACTTGCGGGCTTTCTGGCCTGACAGGGGCAGTGTGATCAGGAGTTGACGGTTGGGTAGCCAGCAGTTGCCAGTTTCCATTTGACCGATACGTTCTCAGTGAAACGCTGATTTTGGGAAATATGGTTGTTGGCGCCTGGATTTGCGAGTGACTCCTTTGAAATAAGAAGACACAAAGGAATAAAATTATTTTGTTGATGTCAAATATAATAGTTGAGGACCCTAGTACTACGCTAGAGATAGAAATTTGTTGCTTGTTTAGAGCCACCAGTTTTGGCAGGGTATGCGCATGCGTACGAATTTATGAAATTTTCAAGCCTGATCTCAAAGCAAAGAATTCCCGAAGAGACCATGTCTGCAAAAAATACTTATCCAGCGTGTGTGTCGGATGTAGTGTCAGTGTTTTAATTTATGG